GGAGACATTATGATATTTCCCGAGGGCCCAGGGGGAATCTGGGATTACTGTACCCCTATCAATTTACCTTTTTGGGACCTAAATCCTATTACCTACCTTTTTACTCAATCGGGGAGAACGAATCCAAAGAGAACAATACTTCTACATGTGCGCCGTGCAAAATTTCCAAAAGTTCGTCGTGTTTACCGAGAACGAAAGATGTTTGTCCACCATTTTGAATGATACTAACTGGTATCAGGGTCATCAAGCTATGGAACAGGGGTTTATGAAAATAGATTGGGTTACTATAGCTTGCAATGTTAAAGGTGATTGAACTATGTTATAAAACAACTTCCAGTACATTATGATATTTATAAGTATAAATTTTTGAAAATACATATAAAGAATCTTTGCCCACAGGACGTGTATTTTGAATGCCTGGGAAGAACACAAATGGGTACTGGCCCGGTGTTGCAATAGTAGCATTTAAAAATCTGTTCCTCCCGAGATTTATGGTCTTCTGAAATAATACTATTAATTGGTGTTGTTGCATCATTGCTCAAATCTAGAGGAGTGTTGTTGCATCTTCGGTTTGGTGTTGTTGCATCAATAGTGGAGAACTAAAACCGTGAACTTCTTGCTTCTTGATGATGCTACATGTATACTAATGAGAGTTTCTTAAAATATAGACCGTGCGCTAACTTCACGTGTGTGGTTATTGAAAAGGTCGTCCTAGAAATGGGTTTAAATTGGGGAAACAACATATCGTACGAAAATCTATCACCGGAAGTCTGGCCATCTTGATGCAACAACACGGTGTTGTTGCATCACGATACTCCCCAGTGATTAAAGAAGACAATGGAATGATACTTTCCTGAAAAAAGCAAGGCAATTGACAAATGTCTTCATACTTTATTTTGTACCAGAAAATAACATGTGCTGGTATAGCAATTTTTTTACCAAAATGTTACTTTCAAGCTGTACCTTAACTGTTTTTCGAAAAACCGTTTATGTAACTTAAGTGAGGAATTAAATCGACGATTATATTGTCTTCTGAACTATTTGTTCGCAAACATGTACATTTTCTAAAGCATATGAAACTGATACATGTTTGTGTATTTCTGCCATCATGATTATCTATCAGGCTAAAGATGGCAATCACTGACTCCCCGGGCAATGTCTATTCTTTGAAAGAGGTAGATCTAACAGAGATCACCATCAAGATTAAGATAACTGCATAAACTTATCCCGTTCCCGGACTATGGTCCTGTACGGAGCCCATACATTTGCCTGTACGATTACAACATGGGAGAATTTTTTACTGATCTTACACTTCAGATACCTACTTCAATAGATTCCTTGGTAATTAAGCATTCTTTTCGTGTAGTTGAATCCACAATTGTCTGGGTTTATCGGCAGAACGAAGACATTTTCGTTTTTGATCGCAATATTTGCGTGTAACATTTAACCTTTTTCAACCGTCAAATTCCTCCATATTGGTACTTCCGGGCTACATCCGGGACAGCCAAACGGGGGATTCCCCGTTTAAATCCAACCGCCATTTTGAAAAGTGATGGAATCTCTCTCGATGAAAAAGAGAAAATGTTCTCGTTCTACCGATATACCCAGACAATCGGCGGTTCCAATATATTAGAAGTTACATCTTGAGTTCTATAATGCATTGAGGTAGGTATCTTAAGTGTAAGGGGCATAGATAATTCTCCCAAGTTGTAATCATACAGGCAAATGAATGCGATCAGTGCAGGACTATAGTCCGGGAAAGGGATAAGCATAAACCATTTGCCATAAACACTTCACCATCCAATCAACACATCTGCGCCAGATCCAAGGGACCGGATCTGACTTGAAAGTCGCTGATGGTTAATTGACCCCTGGACCCCTTGTAATTGACCTAACGAAAATTATGAACCGGGAATTCTGATTGAAAATCGTGATGAAATTGAATATCAATAACATCGATTCAAATATCAGAATATTCAAAAGTTCATTTCAAAAATTATGAAAATTGAAACGATCCCAACTTTCACATGAGATTATTTGTGTTCTCGCTGCAAGTACCGGCCATGGAATGCTTTCATTTTAGCCTTTGGTGATTGTGTAACATGCATGCATCATTCTTACCTTCGAAAGCTGGCAGTACGGCTCCCAAGTTGCTTTTAAGCAGCAATATTCTTGAACTTGGAACTGTCCTCCATGTTGATTTCGACGCGGGAATTCCTCTATTTCTATTGGTTGATAGAACAGAATACGATAAAAAGCCGAACGAGACATACATCAAATTTGCGAACGATGTACTTTCCGTTTGTAACGCTCGCCCTTGTTGAAAGGGACTAACATTTTTGTCCCGAGGTCTGACAAATCGCCGGAAGAGTGGAGCTTTAGTCAATTTACCGATAATTCGCAAACTTTAGTCCCGATGTAAAAGGGTAGGAGGTCCTATCAAATTATGGTCCTACTTTCCATTGATTTATATGGTGACCTAAATACAACTCTCCCTTATTATCGTATCCACAATCAGGGCCAGTAAGGGCCTTTAAGAAAGGGGACCATAATCCCCAGGGGACCATAATTTCTTTTACACCGGCAAGCTCCAGAGGAAGTCGACATGGACATCTATGAAGTTCAGAGGAAGAAAATATGGAATTTTATAACTCTGAGAGGAATAATACATGGAAACTTCCAATTTTGAGAGGAAATTGACATGGAAAAAATGCTCAAAAAGGGGGTCTTTGGCGCGGCACATAGGTATTAAGAGGTATATTGGAGTGAACCCCCCGGGACAGAACCTCAGACTTTTGTCAGCAATAACCCATGGCAAAATTACAACGTCGGAGAAACGTTTTCTTTACATCATATTTCCACTCTCACTCTCAATTACCACGTTAAGTTCATCTGTGTGAGCCAACATATGCCTGTGCCTTCACCGATCAGTATTTAAAGTTACCACAACTCGAGGCATACATGTATATTCGTTATATATTTAACATTTACATCACGTCACAAATTAAACGAATTTGTTGAGACCACAACGTCTTTGTCACGTTCTTTTTCACATACATGTATATGTATTTTTCACGTTTAAAACCCGTTTCGTCAACGTCAAAATTAACTGTTTCGACAACGTTGCAAATAAACCAATTTCGTGAGGACATAGCGTCTTTTTGTAACGTTTCCTGCACTTACAAATATTTTTTTACATTTCAATTGAAAACACGTTTCGACAACGTTGAAATTAACCGTTTGCACTACGTTGAAAATGAACCATTTTGGTCAGAAAACGACGTCTTTGTAACGTGTTTTACAATTACAAATATTTTTCTCATTCAAACCATGTTTTGACAACGTTACAATTAGCCATTTTCACTACGTGGCAAATGAACCAATTTGGTGGGAAAACAAGGACTTTGTAACGTTTCCTAGACTTACAATTATCTTTCACATTTAAAACACGTTACGACAACGTCAAATTTTACTGTTTATATTACGTAGCAAATGAAACAATTTGGTGAGAACTGCAACGTCTTTGTAACGTTTTCTACACTTACAAATATCTTTCACATTTAAAACACGTTACGACAACGTCAAATTTTACCGTTTACATTACGTAGCAAATGTACCAAATTTGGTGAGAACACAACGTTTTTGTAACGTTTTCTACACTTACAAATATCTTTCACATTTAAAACACGTTACGACAACGTCAAATTTTACCGTTTATATTACGTAGCAAATGAAACAATTTGGTGAGAACTGCAACGTCTTTGTAATGTTTCCTGCACTTACAAATATTTTACACATTTAAAAAACGTTACGACAACGTTAAATTTTACCGTTTATATTACGTTGCAAATGAACCAAACTGGTAAAAATTCAACGTCATTGTTACGTTTTTCACACGTTACGACGACATCAAATTTTACCGTTTATATTACGTAGGAAATGAAACAATTTGGTGAGAAGTGCAACGTCTTTGTAACGTTTTCTACACTTACAAATATCTTTCACATTTAAAACACGTTACGACAACGTCAAATTTTACCGTTTACATTACGTAGCAAATGTACCAAATTTGGTGAGAACACAACGTTTTTGTAACGTTTTCTACACTTACAAATATCTTTCACATTTAAAACACGTTACGACAACGTCAAATTTTACCGTTTATATTACGTAGCAAATGAAACAATTTGGTGAGAACTGCAACGTCTTTGTAATGTTTCCTGCACTTACAAATATTTTACACATTTAAAAAACGTTACGACAACGTTAAATTTTACCGTTTATATTACGTTGCAAATGAACCAAACTGGTAAAAATTCAACGTCATTGTTACGTTTTTCACACCAGCACAAATTTCGAACTTTACTAACACATTACTACAACGTCATTTTTTAACCATCCACCGACGTTTTGCTGAATGTCACAATTTTACGTTACTTTGACGTTTATATAACGGAAATATACAACGTCTCCAGTGAACTTATATACCACATATGAGTGACGTTACATGGACGTCACTGTTTGCTGGGTACGTGTTATAAAGCCACATGTATGTCTATACCCCCAACATTCAGGAACCATTATTATAATCCAAGATTACAAGTTTATAGGACATTACATCGTGGAATAATTGAAAAAATGATAACCAATTCTCCTACATGCCTGTAGTTTGATTTTATTTCATTCAATAAAGCGGTTTGTCATGTGTGGAAACGTTTTACACACCACTCTTTGTTTGTGTTATATATCACGTCGTGGATCGAATGCCAGCTTCAAACATTGACCTTCGGTCTTGGTTTAGGAAGCAACAATTCAACCACTTCGATAAATTAATGGCAGTACTTGTGTTTGTAGGATTTATCAAATATTTGAAATAAAAAGCTCATATAACATAAAAGTAAGTATTTTTGTTGTTGACATGCAGATTTTGATGGAAACAGTAAATAAATATGCCAATCTAGTCATAAAAACGAGAATTCAGCGAGATTTCAAAAAGCTACATGTATATAACAAAACTTGTATTGCAATGTTTTTACCTTAGACGAGTGATACATGGTGTGCAACCAACAATTGAACTACGTGATGGGATCCTACTCATATTGGGATTCGGCTTATTCTCTGTTTTGATTGCAATAACTTTCCATTGTATCCGGAAATACGTCTACGGGGATGCGTCGAATGTTGACACTTCGTTTGATGCAGGAGGTAAAGTGTCTCTTGGCATGACAGCCACAGTCATCGTGTCTCAGATGACATGGGCGGCAACGCTGCTACAATCTACAACATTTGCTGTTAAGGTAGGTAAATGTGACGATTGCAGTTCATTTTCTAATAAATACTACAAACAGCAAGGAGGATTGGCTCCCAGGGTTCCAACTCAAAATGTCGTGATTGCACAATTCGAATTCAAACAGCCGCCATTTTGTTCACTTCAGAATTTGAATCGCGAGATTTGGTCTTATTTCCGAACAAAAAATCCAAAAAGTTATCGACATATTGGTTCGAGTCTTTTGGTTGTTGATTATTTTATAGTCAGTTGTTATGTTAGAAAATAGGGAACCAATCCTCTTTGACATGCAGCATAGTTAGTCCATATGCTCCTTTCTACAACTTTTTGTTATACTTAGAAAACGATATTTATTCAATACTCTAAGGATAATGTACGTAAAATGTTTTGCCGTTTTATTTTATTTAGTTTGGTATAAGTGGAGCATTTTGGTATGGATCTGCTGCTACAATACAACTATTTACCCTCGCAAACCTTTCGATTCAACTCAAAACAAAGGCTCCTGGCGCAAAAACATTCCTTCAGGTAGTACAGGGTGGTCAAAAAAATGGAAACCCTGCATTTTCCTTATATCTTTGTCACTTTAAGGAATTACTCCCTGATATTTCACACATTTGTACATCATTCAATATCCTACCAACTTACCATATTTCATGACCATCAGACTGATAGTCACAATTTGACAGCACTTTGAATAACATGCTTCAGATTTGGCCATTATCGCGCTGTAGGCAAAACAGCACAGTTGTCAATGACCCGAATGTATTCCTCAGCAAGTATGGCCTGAATAACACAAATGATCTCACTTTTGAGGTTTGCAGTTGTCCTGAGGTCATTCTCATTACATATACTCTATCTCTGCCGTATCCCCACAGGTAGGGACATTTTAAACGATGAGTACAGGTTTCCCCACAACGCAATAGTGGCCACTGGGCATGTTCTTTAAAGTACTGTAACATTGTGACTATCAACCTGATGGTCATGAAATACAAAAGACTGGTTGCAAATTGAATGATGTACAAAAGTGTAAAATATCAGGGAGTTATTTCTTAAAATGACAAAGATATGAGGAAAATGGTATTAGGGTTTCCATTTTTTGACCACCCTGTATGTGACTGTCATTTCTAATTTTCTATCGTTTGTCAATATTCGACAACAAGATTAGGATTAAACCTTTCTGATCGTCATTGTTTGCAGGTAATGCGTGCACGATTTGGGGGACCCACGCACATTGTGTTCTGCGTGTTTGCTGTTATCACAAACATTTTAATAACCATGATGTTGTTACTTGGAGGCAGTGTGGTACTCACAAGTCTTATAAGGGATCTTTCTATTGAATTGACCTGTATGATTCTAGCAGCAGTTATTGGTAAATTGTTTAGTTGATGTACTGTTTCGTATTTAGGCTCAATAATACGGTGGGGACATGGGTATTGCGTGTCATACCTTATCTCACAAACAAGAAATGTATCTCAACAGAATCACCTGCGGCCTATCAGAAACTTCTCTTTCAAATATCCAATCAGAAGATAAAATTGAACAATTGATATTTTCAATGTCATCAATGTTCCCACTTGCAGTTAGGAACTCACATATAGGCTACACGCACCTATTTTACCCACAACAGAAGCCTCTTATTACTTCCTCTTTTACCTCTCATTGTCACATTGTACAATTTTCGATCCAATATTTGTCCCATAGCTTTTTTTATTTTATTGTTGAACAGTGGAACATTTAATGCCAAAAGACGATATTTCAACTTTACTCGAGTCTCTAGCTTACAGCTAGATAAGACTTCATTGATTTCGTATGTACTCTAGAAAAAGTGGCACACGTGCCTAGAATTCCTATTAAATAATTTTTATGAATATGTATAAGAATGTTAATTATATTGAGGTTGTAAGCGTTGCTTGCCTGGATTAAGATGTTTCAAAATTTATTTTGGGAAAGAACCTCAAACTCAACGCAGGGGAGGGAAACCAACATATCTGAGAGCTTTAGAGATAACAGCCACGTCTCTTGCTTACCACCTTCGTTTGTTCGAATTTTCACCGGCTAGTTTCTACTACACTTCGATGTGGTGTTTGAATTAATGTAGGCAAATTTTGACTACCATGCAGGGTATCTGATAGAAATAAATGTGAAGCGAATTACAATTTTCCATTTTTCGAGTAGTGGCAATCTGCGAAAAGTTTGTTTCTTCTGCTTAGGTTTTTAAATAAGACTTCAAAGATCGCCCTAATACTTCACTTTCGCTGAAGAAGGCAGTAGAATGAAAATGAAAAACAAGTTTATTAAGAGGAACACCATTGGGTTCTTTCTTTTGTTTTGACCCCAGGGTTACTAAAGCCATATTTTTCAAAATTGCTGTCAGAATATTTTTAAACTGTACAAAGCTACAATACTCCAGTATGCGTGCTCAAAATAAAGCCAAACAAAAATTAGAATTTCACATGTTTTTGGCAATTGCGTATAATAACTTCCGGAGCTCGTGGATAATCTTATAATCTCTTAGACATTTTGCTAAATGCTCAATAATGAATGACGCAACAAAGATGAACAGGTTATAGTGAATAGTGCATTTAACTTCCAGAAGGTAAGGGAGATTCCCATTTGTTAGCTAACTCTTATTTTTTCATCTATATACAGGGCGTATCAAAAAACCGCAACAAGTAGTTATCTCGTAAAATCACAAAACTATTGATGACTACATCAATTTCATTTAATGTTCCATAAAACCATGTCTCTCCTCTTTGCAATGATAGATCATTCATTCACATGTGGTAATGATTGGGTGAGAAATCCGTCCATTTGCACAGTGGGTCAAAATCGGCTCTGCGCCAAGTTTTAGAGTTTTAGAAAAAATCAGTGCAAGGGCTAAGTGCCAGTGGAAGTTCCCCTGACTTGAATTGTTGTGACTTTTTCTGTTGGAGCTATCTCGGAGCATCTGTGCTCACATTTCCTCCACCAGATATTGCAAAACCTCGAGAAAGATTTGCACATGGGCTGATTCAGGGCCGAATCATGCATGACGTGGACAGATGAGCGCATCTTTATGTGCAAGGAAGTGGTGGCAATTTGGAGGGGTATAGGATGTATTCTTGCAAGAGTATGAGTATGAACACTTTACTGTCTATGCCATACCTGTCACACCTTCTTCCGATAGCCCCTATGCCCCTTTTACTGACTTTTGCAATGTTTTAAACTTGGGTACTAGCTGAATTTTGCCCCACTCTGCAAAATTAATGATTATTTGGCAAGAGATGACTCCCTGTGAATGAATGATATTCCATTGCAAAGAGGAGTAATTTGGCTTTTTGGTACATTGAATTAAAAGGATGCAGTCAGCATTGGTTTTATGTTTTCGTCCAATATTGCATAGGGCTCCGTACACTGACTTTTGCAATGTTTATAACTTGGCCCGAAGCTAATTTTGGCCCACTTTGCAAATGGAATGATTACTCACCCAACCATGACCAAATATCAATGAATGATATATCATTGTAAAGAGGAGACACATATTATTATTTGCCGAAGATAACAGGATATAATAGAATATATTTTTTTCCGAATAAGATACCCGTATCTACTCCTGTTATTCGGCTAATATTATATTAGGTTACACCCGTTTAAAACCCCTTATAGGGGCAAATAAGAGGCGTGTAGAAACCTACAATATTACCGATTTTGCCCAGTGTGGTTTTGTGCTTTTCCAAGATAACAATCTGTTTTTTTTGATACGCATTGTATACTAGCCAGTTAGTCAGGAGGTGAAATCGACTGTAAGTTCATTCATGTAATCTTATACTTTTTCAGGCTCATACACTTTAATTGGCGGTTTGGGCGCAACATTCTATGTTTCTTTCTTCAACACTACCTTGGTCTTCGTTTTTCTTATTGTGACAGTAACAGAAGTGTTTTTAAAGTCGCCATCGGAAATTGAGACTTTGAATTTAGCATACGGAAGCTCTGATATCATCTACGACTACCTCCAGAATACAACTGGACCAGATGGCAACCTTGAAGGAAGTTACGTCACAATAGTCTCATCGGGTGGTTTAATGTTTGGTGTTATTATTGTCATATTGGGATTTAGTTCAGAACTCGGAGACCAGGCCTTTTGGCAGAGTAGTGTTGCAGCTAAACCTGGGCATGGTAGCGTTTGGGGATTTTTCGCCGCTGGTATAACTTGGTTCTCGATACCTTTTACGCTTGCAACAGCAATTGGACTGGCGTATATAGCAATTGAGGGCTCACAGGGAACACCAATACTTTCAAACAATGAACTAGAACAAGGTTATCATTCTTTATTCACACCTAGCATTTTGTGTAATTGAAGCTTTGTGATGGTTTTTCAACTCTATACCATTAAATATCTATTTAAACAATGAATTAGAACAAGGTTATTCACCTATCATTTTGTGTAATTGAAACTTTATGATGATTTTCAACTCTAACCAGTAAATATCGATATAGACAATGCATTTTGTAGCATTTTATGTAATTGAAAATTTATTATGACCATTAAATATCTATATACTCTGTACTCATATTTAAGTATATATCAACAGGATTGGCGGTTCCAGTAGTTGCCCAAGCAATTTTGGGGAAGACAGGGGAGTACCTGACATTAATAGCCATCTTAATGGCAATAATGTCAACAGGATCAGGAGAGGTGGTTGCCGTTGCTTCAATTATTGTATACGACATATACCAGCCATATATCAACCCATTTAGGTATGCTTATTTCCCATAAACCTTAATGCGATATATCCCATTGTATGGAAGTGCTGTTTAAGAGCTAGCATAATTTCTAGTGAGGCAACGCGTTGTGCAACAATTCTGATGGATATAAATTAAATCAAGCTATTATAAACTTTTTTTCTTGAATCATTCATTATATATATAAGGGTTATGTACTGGGAGGTTTTGGATACAGGGTTTATTCCAAGGGAAATATGTGTATCTCACGAGGGACCGCAGGGACCAAGGGAGATACACATATTTCCCGCGGGATAAACACTGTATCCAAAACCGACAGTACATAACTGGTGTATCTCATACTTGAGTGGGTTTGGGGTAGATATAACCTTTTTCACCTTTTTCAAATGACAAGATAGGCCTTTACTGTAAAAGCACAATTTATATTTAACATTTTCATAATATTCCTTCAGTTCAATACAATAGAATTGTAACATTTAAACTTTTTGAAAAATTTTAAACTTCTGAAATTTAAATTTTTTAAATTTTAAAACTTTTTTAAACTTTTGAAAAAATTCCCGGGAGCGGGATGGATATATTATATCTGCCCGCATTTGGCCTAGAGCGGGACATATACAATATATCCTGCCCGCTCCTCAGATATGATATGTATTCCCGGGTGATATCTACCCCAAACCCACTCAAGTATGAAATACACATTCGTATATATACATTCGTATATTAAACATATATATTTTACACCAGGAAGAATCTTCAAGTCGATGAGTGTATTCTTTGTGGTAAACAAAAACCTGCCGATGCCAAAAATACCGGCCACGATATAGCCTTTACAGATGGTAAGGAGGACACCAACGTATGCACCTGTATGCCAGTTGTTGAATGCATTGAATGTGCAGACGACAAAGACATGAGGTCAAACAAGAAATCCGAATTGGGAGTTAGAAAGCCATATCGATGTAGAGTCCACGGTTTGTACAAACAGTACCAGGACGAACTACTCAACTTCAAGAGTTGGTGCATCCTTTGGGTCACATTGTTCATGATCCCTCTGGTTTTGTTTGCACACTGGGTGGGTTTGGTGCTTGGATGGCTCTATGCGTTCTCTGGGATTATCATTGGAGGTGTTGTGTTCCCACTCGTGATGAGTGTATCCTGGAGTAAAGTAACTACAGCTGGAATGTTATCAGGTATAAAGATCAATAAAATTAATAATATACAAATATTGGATTCTATGGAGTTAAATATTAAGCAAATATTTCATTCTATGGAGGGCAATACCTGTTCATCTTTCAATGATTTTTGCGGTATGTATTGCCCGCAGCCCGTAGGGCGAGGGAAATACATGATGCAAAAATCATTGAAAGTGCAACAGGTATTGCCCGAACATAGAATGAAATATTTGTTTTATTATATCATTGCTAGACATTCCCTATGATCATTTATTTTAATCAATTAATATATCATTAATCCATAAGTGAACATAATTACGTACAAGTATCATTGAATGGTACACTTTATTTTCGTCCAGTGTAGTTGTCAGAATTCCCGGGCGGGCAATACGCCGGGCAATACGTCTTTTATTATCCTAAAATTGAGGGAGCTGTGAAATACGTTATGGTATTTTTGATCACATGGTACTGACTCGACCAATCAAATCACACAATTTCTAGCAATGATATAATAATTGTATTTATCCCATACTTTGACGTGTTACGGGTACATAAAGCCGGTTTGTAAAAACTTATATTTTCATCAGCTGCGTCATTTCAAAGATTGTCAAGCTATTGAATTTTTGGTCGCCTAAAGTCTTTCCAGATGTATATTTGATGCCATATTAATGGCTGATTATTGTCATTCATTTTTGTCATAGTGAGTGATATTATTACAGTACATAAGGCCAATGTATAACTTGTCACTCTGGGTCACTTCTCTGAAAACGCACCTTTTTCGCCACTGGGATTTTCCAGCGCCGTCACTCAGCATGCAACCCTGTGGCACGTAAATTGTACCATGCTTTGAATATGTCAAGTTTCCCTAACAATTTCATGATAGAATGTGACACAGCTATATTAACATCTTTGAAGGATCTAATGCCGGAAATACTTGAAGTTGGAGATTTGTAATGTTTTACCTCATTTTGGACAGTATTGAACAGTTCGATCTGGTTGAACTCGTATCTCTTGACAAGAAGATTGACCTCCTGTATCTGGGCTTTATCTAGGGAACGCTTCACAAAATGAGACCCAGAGCAACAAGTTTTTATTGGTCTAATGCACTGTAATAATATTGAATATGACAAAAGTGAATAACAATAATCAGCCATAATTATTATTAATATGGCAACAAATATATATGGAAAGACTTTAGGCAGCCGAAAATCCAATATCCAGGCAATATTTTAAATGACGTTATAAGTTCAATTGTTCAAGCAAAAACCCGTCTTTTATTGACAGTGAAGCGTTTTTGAAAAAGCCTGTCAAAATATAAGCCTGATAAAATATTTATTTTCCATGTTGGAAATTGTCTCTAGAATAAATCTTGAAAAGGACGATTCTCGGTTTGGAGAACGAAGTTCATCAATCTAAATGAGCATTATCCCTGCTTCGGACACATTTGATTTTTTTACATAATATAGATTTGAATGTCTTCTTTTAAATAGTCATAATTTAATTTGGGTAATATTTCTAGATTTTTCGCAAAAAAATATTAGCGTAGTACACTGATGAACTTCTTTCCCTAAATCGAGACTTGTATTTTATTGAATCGGTCTAATTGAGCGTTATCCCTGCTTCAGACCAATTTGTTATTTTTACATCTTGTAGATTTAAATGTCCTCTTTTGAATATTCATAGTTTAATTTGGGTAATATTTCTATATTTTTCATGAAAAAAATTATTAGCCCAGGAGACTGTTCTCCAAACCGAGAATCGTCCTTTCAATAAGAATGGTTGTTCCATTGCAAATATATAGTAAAAACACGACTGCATCATTCAACCTGTCCGGGGTACTATATATTCAAAGGCTAGACACAAAACATAAAAATCACAAATACCTATGTACTGTGGCATTCGTTATTGCGATTTATATCTTTCTAATACTTTCAAAAGTATCACTTACCAATCACACGTAATGAACTTACTCAATCACTCAAGGATTCATATTTAAGTGCTCGAAGCGATACCTTTAATGGCATTTTAGCATAGTCTTACATTTAGAGTAGATCCTCTGGACCAATCAAATCAAAACAGTCTGTATCACGTTCTCACTGTGTGGTATCTGCGGAATATGTCATACTCACTTGCCTACCAGTATATGTCAGATACTGCAGGTGAATGTGGCATAGATTTTTTTATTTAGCAGTAATATTACATACATTTAATACAATATTCTAACAGCTTGATATCCTTTTGGATATATAAAGCATTTAATTTCAATAGTTTGTTATGAAATAATGGCTTGTTCACTATACTACTTGTTACAGTAGTGAGCTACTTGTATATTTTATTATACTATATTCATCTATAGTTTAATTTGTAATCAATACTTTCTGTATATGTTGAGCTATTCTTTATTAGAGATCTTAGGTCAAGGTCACAATGACATTATACACTGTATCTAGTAAACAAAACTGAACTGAATGATTCATTAACCCTTGACCATCCAGAGATTTCTAGAAATTATAACCATTCATTAAAATTTAATCATGTCACTAAAGATGTCCAATCAAGATGTAGTTCCAGAAGATTCGTTTCTGGATCATTCTTTCACATTATAAAAAGAACAACACAGTGACTCTCATTAGCAGATAAATTAAGTCATCATAACTGGACATCTACTCTGTAGCAGATAATTAAGTAATCATAACTGGACATCTCAAAGGAACTAAATAAAGCAGAATTTCAAAGTTTTTATCAAAAGGACATCTTCTTATATTAGCGGAAATAACAGACACATACTGTGGGAACATTTATAACACTACAAACATACAACCTGAGGACTTTATATGGACATATATTATAACACACTCTATATACGGATTATCATATACATTCGTGGATTATCATAAACATTTGTGGATTATCATCAAACATTTGTGGATTATCATCAAACATTATTGGATACGAACATTATAGGATTACAACAAACATTATTGGATTATTACAAACATTGGAGAACTATTAACGATTATTGAAACATTTCGTGTTCTGGAACATTCTCAAGGATCGTCAACGACATTTATCGACATCAAGAATAAGCCGTATCATTGATTGGACATCACTTAAGTATTAAACCTCCTTTATATTATAGTTATATTGTTATATTATTTAGTTTTCAAAATATAAATATATTGTTATCATATGTTAATTGCTGTTTTTACTTTCTGTTATTTTCGAACGTAACAGAAATTGGGGGCTTGTCCGGGATATAACTACAACAAGCTAAAATTCAAATATTTGAAAATTCGATATCCAAAACTTGTACATTTTAATTGTGAAGACAGCAATTAATTGAAAATGAGTTTTGAGGTTGAGACATTTTTAGAAGCGCCCTCTTTGGAGGAGTTTGACAAGTTAAAGAAAACTGATCTTCTGGCACTGGCTAAACATGTTGGCTTGGCTGTGAAAACTTCTTACAGAAAAGGGACTATCAAAAATCTACTAATGCAATATTTGGTCGCAGAAGCACTTCTGCCTGAGGAAGCATTGAAGCTTACCCTCGAGCCAAGCCAGCATGATCCTATTAGACTCAAAGAGCTTGAATTAAAAGAGAAAGAATTGCAAAATGAAAGAGAAATGAGAGAGATTGAACTTAGATTACAAAACGAAAAAGAAATAAGATTGAGAGAACAACAAATGCAAAATGAAAAGGAAATTGAATTAAAGAGGCTTGAAATAGAAGCTAAATCCAAATCTGATGAACATGCTACTATGCATCAACATTTTGAAAATAGGTTTGACGCTTCAAAATTTCTCAAATTTGTACCTAAATTTCAAGAAAAAAATGTTGATAAATACTTTACGCATTTTGAAAAAGTCGCTCAGAGCCTAGACTGGCCTAAATCTGCATGGCCAGTTATGCTCCAGAGTGTATTCATTGGTAAAGCAAGTGAAATATTTGCCTCTCTCTCAGGAGAAGTATGCTCTGATTATGACCTAGTTAAAAATGCAATTCTTAAAGCTTATGAACTAGTACCAGAAGCTTACAGACAAAAATTTAGAAATGCCCACAAACAGAGTGACCAAACCCATGTTGAGTTTGCTCGAGAGCAAGAGCAGCTTTTTGACAGGTGGCTTGTCTCTAAAGATGTATCTGAAGAGTTTAAGAAGCTCAGAGAGCTAATGCTTATAGAACAATTTAAAAACTGTGTTCAGTATCACATTAGAACTTACTTAGATGAACACAAGGTAGAAACTTTGAGTCAAGCTGCCACCTTGTCTGATGATTATGCTCTTACTCATAAGGGTAGTTTTATCAAAGGTAATCCTAACTCAAACTTTAGAGGTTATCAGGGTAACAAACCTTCATATGACTCTAAATCAAATCAGTCCTCATCATCAAATACATTAAACAAAGCAAAAGACCAGTCTAATTCATCACGGAGTTCTAGCTCAAAATCAGATCAATCAAATTCTTCAGGTTCAAAATCAAATGTCACCTGTAATTATTGTAAAAAGCCTGGTCATCTTATTTCTGAATGTTATAGGATTAAGAATAGAAGAGAGATGTCTGGTTCTGCTCATTCAAATGGTTGTGCTACAGTTCCCATTTCAAGAAAGCCCATTGTTTGGGATTCATATACTCATACTGAGAAATCTACTCATAGTGATATTATGGAGGATTATAAGCCTTTCATGTCGGAAGGATCTGTGTCACTGTCAAGTGATGATACCAATTCAAAGCCAATTAAGATTCTTAGAGACACGGGTGCATCTCAGACTTTGTTGTTAGAAGGTGTCCTTCCTTTATCTGAGGAGTCATTCACGGGTACCCATATTTTGATGCAAGGCATTGAATTAGGTTTTACTAAAGTCCCCCTCCATCGTATTCATATCACATCGGAGTTAGTCAAAGGGCCAGTTATTGTTGGTGTTAGGCCACAACTTCCTGTTGAAGGAGTCGCATTGCTTTTAGGCAATGATTTAGCTGGGGGTAAGGTATCATTAGACCCCATTGTTTCTGATCAGCCTTGTTCTATTGAGGATTCTGTCCAAGAGGACTCTGATATATATCCTGCTTGTGCTGTTACTAGGGCTATGGCTAAAAAGTTAGCTAATAGCGGGGATTCGTCTGTGGGAGATGACTTTGATAGTGGGTTTTTAAGCTCCTTGTTTGATGATGAATGTCACTCACCACTTGTTAAAGATGGTCCTTATCCTATTCTAAAGGCAAATTCTTCATTGAAACAGCCTATTGTTCAAGCCAAGCAGCGATCTAATGAGGCATATTCTTCATTGAAAAAGCCTATTGCCAGGGGTGATTCACCTTCTGAGCAGGATCACTATTTTAATGCGGTTTCGCCCGCTCTTGCTAGTTCTGATGAAGTTTCATCTTCTTCTGCTAGTGTTCATGAGGTTTCATCCCCTCCTTGTTCTGAGGTTTCATCCTCTTCTAGTTCTGAGGTTTCATCCTCTATTTCTGATAGTGATTCTTTGAAAAATGATCCTCATTCTAAACACATGTTAATTTATGAACAAGAGCATGATCCATCACTCATTGATCTTCATAAAAGATGTCTTACTATTGATGAAGCTGTCAAGGTCCCTGTTTGTTTCTACAAAAAAGATGGCATATTAATGCGAAAGTGGAGACCCCCTGAAGCTTCCCCTGAAGATGATTGGGCAATTGTACATCAAATTGTTGTCCCAAAATCATATCATAAGGAAATCTTGAGTCTAGCTCATGATTCTCCCATGGCAGGTCATTTAGGAGTAACTAAAACATACCATAAAATACTCAACCATTTCTATTGGCCCAAATTAAAACAAGATGTCCAAGAGTATTGTAGGTCTTGTCATACATGTCAAATGGTAGGGATACCTAACCAGAAAATCTCAATTGCTCCTTTACAACTTATACCTGCATTTGATGAACCATTCAGTAAGGTTCTTATTGACTGTGTTGGTCCATTACCAAAAACAAAATCTGATAATCAATATCTGCTCACTATTCTGTCTATGGCCACACAGTTTCTAGAAATAAAATCACATCTTATGCTTAGGAATAGCAAAACCAAGTATATTGTGAAATCACAAATCAACAATTTCACATTAGTTGAGATACCAAAGGAGCTCATATCTGACTTACAATCTGACTCAGTGCTGAATGATTTCATTGGCATTGATAAAACTACTCATGTGAGGTGTAGAGAGCTACACATGATGAAAAAGTATGTCGAGCGTGATAAAATTTCTTACTCAGCATGACCTTGTGCTCTTAGGTCTTAGGCCTAACTTGTATGTAAATGATAACTATATGTTATTCAAGATTTACATATTGTAAATTATAGTGATTAACTCATGTAGAGTATATTATATGATAGGCAAATTGTATATATGTGATAACTGTCACTTTATTTTAACAATACTGTATATAAAAACATTTGCCTAAATAGTGAATATGTGAGCATTATAGGTGATCATTAAATAGTGTCACAAGATTACTTGATAATATGAGAGTGTACTATCAGAAGTACTTACATAAGATCATGTGATAGTTTAAAACATTGTACTAGTTTAGTGTTTGTCAAATGTATGATATTGTACATGTTATATGATCTATTGCATGTATTGCATTTATGACTTGATGCAAAACTCAGTTTGATACTATTGTAGTATGATACTATTGTAACACATTATTACAGAAAATTATATGTTATCAGATTGTACTCACACTGTAACGATAGAAAGTATTATATACTTGTAAACATACTGCATATAAAAAGACTATTGTAAACAAATATTATGTAAGTCTCAACCTCACTTTTAGAAATTGTAACGCTCGCTACTCAAGATATTATTGTAAAAGTTTTTCATTGCATTCAAAACTTTTCTTTTAAGGAGGGAGGTGTTACAGTAGTGAGCTACTTGTATATTTTATTATACTATATTCATCTATAGTTTAATTTGTAATCAATACTTTCTGTATATGTTGAGCTATTCTTTATTAGAGATCTTAGGTCAAGGTCACAATGACATTATACACTGTATCTAGTAAACAAAACTGAACTGAATGATTCATTAACCCTTGACCATCCAGAGATTTCTAGAAATTATAACCATTCATTAAAATTTAATCATGTCACTAAAGATGTCCAATCAAGATGTAGTTCCAGAAGATTCGTTTCTGGATCATTCTTTCACATTATAAAAAGAACAACACAGTGACTCTCATTAGCAGATAAATTAAGTCATCATAACTGGACATCTACTCTGTAGCAGATAATTAAGTAATCATAACTGGACATCTCAAAGGAACTAAATAAAGCAGAATTTCAAAGTTTATTCAAAAGACATCTTCTTAGCAGAAAATAACAGACACATACTGTGGGAACATTTATAACACTACAAACATACAACCTGAGGACTTTATATGGACATATATTATAACACACTCTATATACGGATTATCATATACATTCGTGGATTATCATAAACATTTGTGGATTATCATCAAACATTTGTGGATTATCATCAAACATTATTGGATACGAACATTATAGGATTACAACAAACATTATTGGATTATTACAAACATTGGAGAACTATTAACGATTATTGAAACATTTCGTGTTCTGGAACATTCTCAAGGATCGTCAACGACATTTATCGACATCAAGAATAAGCCGTATCATTGATTGGACATCACTTAAGTATTAAACCTCCTTTATATTATAGTTATATTGTTATATTATTTAGTTTTCAAAATATAAATATATTGTTATCATATGTTAATTGCTGTTTTTACTTTCTGTTATTTTCGAACGTAACATACTTCTTGCTGAATCTTATAAAAAACCAAATTTGAATAAGGAAACATTTGCGAAATAATTATCACATTAAGGTAACCAGTTTCACTCAAAACATAAGGATATGCTAATGTTATGGTCAAGGAAACATATCCAAAAGAATTTAAAAAAGAGTGGTAAAAAGAACTAGCCTCACGAAACAAATCCTCAAAATTCCAACCAATGGTGTAACACATAAAGGAGTGAAAAGTGATCATGTCACTGCATTCAAAAGTGAACTTTCTAAGGGAACCTAAAGTAAAGCCTGAGTCACATTTGCTCTACGGCGGCCGTTCGGCGACCGAGGCTACACAAAATCGATATAGAAAATCTACATCGTACTGCTTATCCCTATATTTTATGCTGCATGTCTCTCGATTCTGGAAACCTACGGCCGTCGTACGGTTGCCATAGATCAAATGTGACTGGGACAAAACACAACATTACATTATTTATACAGGTGTTCTTTCCGGTTGTCTTTGTGGCATACCTGTGTGGCTAGGAATCGCATCGACTTACGAAGGTGGACTCGGCACATTCATTGCCAATACTGGCCGAGAAGTACCAATGTTAGTTGGCAATTGCATCTCGATAGGTTTGAGTGGACTTGTTAGCGTTATCGTCTCACTGTGCACACTTGACTGGAAGCGATTCGATGAGAAAAAGGAATGGGAAAAGCTAAGAAATATCGAGAACCCTCTGCACCCCTGGTATGTCAAATATGCTCGTGGTTTTGGAATGAAAGGTGACTTAAAGTCAAAGTTTGTTCGTCCGACGCAGAAAATGATAAAAGATCATTTCAAGCCATTGCGAATTACAGCCATCGTTGCCGGGGTAATCTTAAGTATTGGATACGTCATCATTTGGCCTGCTGTTATGGTGCCGTTTGAAGTTTTAACGAAGAGAGAATTTCACCATTGGACAAATTTTTCAATGGCATATGCTTTCATAGCTGCCGCGTTCATCATAATTCTACCGCTTGTTCAAGAAATCTACTTGATTGGTGGTAAGATAAGAAAGAATAGAAAGCCGAGGGAGAAAGGAGAAGAGAAGCAAAACGTAGGAAGGGTAAACAAAGGATATGTTGCAGACTCTAACACCTCCCTTTAGAACGGTTTTTATCCTGATAAATATATCTATCCCAGTAAATAATACATAGCGGTTATTAACTGGAAGGGATTTGATGTGGGCTTCATTCCGAGAGGCAATATAATATTTTTATTCCATAATACTACTGTTTTCCCTGGGAAATAAAATCATATTATCCCTCTTAAATCATATATACTCGAAAAATCATATTGTCCCTGGAAAAAAAATCATATATACTCGAAAAATCATATTGTCCCTATTATTTCAAAAATCAGTTTTTCCAATTTTTCATTTGTTCAAAAAAATCTGATTTTCCAAATTTTTTCCAATTTTCAAAAAAGTAATTTTTCCTTCAGAAATTTTCATTTTTTCAAAAATTTTCGATCTTTCAAAGATTTTCATTCATTTCAAAAATTTTCATTTTTGAATCATTTATTTAATCATTTTTTTCAAAAATTTCATTTTTTCAAAAAATTTCTTATTTTCAAAAGTTTCATTACTTCCAAAAATTTTCATTTTTTTCAAATTTTTTATTAATATTTCTTTTTCCTTGAATTCTCAAAAATTATGGAATAAAAAGGTTATTTCATGGTTGATTTTCAATATGAATTTTATTCCACGGGAAATATGACATTGACCTCGGTTAATATTATATTAACACTCACTCGCTGCGCTCGTTCGGTCAATATCATATTTCCCTCGGTCAATGTCATATTACCCTGGAATAAAATTCATATTGAAAATCAACCATGAAATAACCTATATATAATCAAAATATTAAAAGTGTATCTCATAAACACTTATCCACAGTAAAAATATTACTTCCAGTAAGTAGTACGTTTTTCTGAAATCTCTCTTAAGACGGCTAAAAATTAAAGCTCAAAACTAGGACGTGTCACTTGGACCATAAGGGGATGTAAATGTTTGTAACAACAATGCGCCTTTTGAAAAATATTATTTTATATATCTATATCATCTAGGAAAATGTTCGTACAAACGAAAAAGTATGTTTAAAGTGAACTCAGATTGTTGACTCTACGATAATCTGTCTTGAGTGAATGTGCCTTCTTCACCTTTCCTCGTCGACACGAATTTTGAACCTGGTAGTTATCACCATTTATGTTAACAAAATATGGATGTCTAATATCCAATACAACAGCAACTATAATGACACTATTGACCAAAGGCTTGTTTGTTTAATAATGCTAGTTTTGTAAATCTGGGAGACGATATAGGACATACCACCCCAAAATGCAAAAGTGAGCGGTCATCGTCGACATGGCGATTTCAGTATCGTATAATTAAAAATGTCACATATAAGTGTTAAAATATGTTTGAATTGCGCACCATATTTTATCACAGTTCAATAACAAATCCCGAAATAAGCAGATTATCGGCAATTTCCGAATACGTAAGGAATAATTTCAGTGTGACATGTTTCCTCATCAACATGTTTTCAAGGCGGTGTATTAAAAACTCGGCCATTTTGAATTTCTGAAAGGTTTTGCATTCAAAACTAATATATACATACCATGGTTTATTTTCCACAATATGAACTTAAATAGTGTATACCATTGACAATGGTCAGCTCTCACTTTTTCGTAGTCTAGCTAAAAGTCCTTATGACCCCCCCCCCCCTCCAACAAACTAATCCTCAAGCTTCTTCCCCTCTATCCAATTTATGAAAGGTGATAAACAGCACTCACTTATTCCAAAAGTATTTCCCATAACAATGTTTTAATTCAACAAGGGATTATATAGAACATGTAAATAACTGTAAGCATACACAAACAATTAAGCTACCTACAAACGTTCCCGAATCCAATCTTTCGTGGATTAAGTGACAAAAAATACAACCCGTGGTATGAATCCATAGAATGTTCTGACAAATTATATTATTATTTTATTATTAAAAATGGATAACTCAGTGCTAAGACTGTTTGTTTTAAGTTCATTAAAACGACACGTATATGACAGTCCCACTGCTGAAATTACCCCCGTAAGTCATATTTACCATCGTCGGTTCCCACGCTCAATCACTTCATTCTGAGGATAGGTCCGAAGCTTGATGAAGCAAGATGCATATTTACCGGAAGAACGAAATTTTGTAATAAATCAACTTCCTCATCACTGTTGATTTTGCCCATTACGATATATAATAAACGAAAAAAAGAAACGGGCATACGCCCTCCTCTATACTCATGCATTTATTTATAGAGAGAACACGATTTACGAATAAGATCTATCAGACCTCTGAAACTTTATCTGATAATAAAAGATTTTATTTAGTATCTTTTTTTTGTAGCAAACATATTAAACCAGAGCATATTAATGAGCCCGAGCCAAAAAATAACCAATTTCCTCGTCGACATGTTTTACCCTCTTCATAATTGTTCGCAATAAACACTTAATCGCTGAGTGCATATGTTGCCCTTGATACAAATAATATTTTGATTTTGTAAGGTTTGTGTTTAAACAAGTATATTCTTTTATATTTCACTTTTGTAAAAGAAATATGTAAAACAAAAACCAAAAAGCGACTTATTTTTGTTAACTTCTTGTCAAATGTGGGTACTTAATTACTTTTCGCTTTTCCTTAAGAACTACCATCCAATTCACCTCTAAACACAGTCACACGTTTTGCACTGAAGCCTGTTCCATTATTCAAAGCTCAATTTGTTTTCCACATAGAAGTAAGTATTATAACCAATCCGGTGTCTTCCCTTTCGCAAATGATTTTCCTCGTCGACATGGCCAATAGCATTGGTTTAGATATCGCTAGATAACGCAAATTGATGAGGGAGAATACTAAAAAATTTCGAGAGTTAATTACATACAATAATATAATACGTTTTATTATATTGTATTGTATTGTTGTATTGTATCTTTTATTACCAAAAGTGCATCAGGTTTTAGTAAAAGTACAATTTTATATATTTTCACTTTACCACATTCTTAATTTTGCATGTTTTGGCGTCTTGACTGTAAACAGCGCCGACCCTCCTCAATTTATGCAAATAATTCCGTGGATTAATGTGCAAATAAAAAACGTGAACCTAATTTAAAGTGTTCAATATTAAAACAAGAACCACCAAGAAAAATAGTTTTCTGTGAAAAGTGTTTCATGAAAAAAAGTTTACAAAGGGGAAAATAAGAACATGCATTCTTAGGCAATAATTTATTCCTCTATATGCCTGAATTACATGGAGAATTCACTGGTTAACATACATGGAGAATTCACTGGTTAAGAACATCAATAAATCTTGATTGGCTCTTTTTAAATGAGTCAAACTATTTCCATTTCCGGCGATCAAGAGGGCAGCACCTGTACCTTGACTGCTGTGATTTAGATAAGACTGTGTTGTGTTGGTGAAGAAGTCAAGGGGGAGGTCCACATTCTTGAACCAAGACTTATGAAACACAGAAACATGATATCAAAGACATTTTAATTCATGATTAGCCCGACAAAGTTCCCTTAAATACATGTACAAACCATTGAACAAGAAGAGACAACCCTAAATTTATTGGATCATGAAAACGTTCAAACATTAAAGTTTCGCCCTTGAAAATATTTGTATCATCCATCTGGTCGAATACCACATATCAAAGGGACAATGATAATGGGAAATCGTGCCTTCCGTGTATCAAACAGATGAATTTCGTCTATACATACACATCAAAACAATAACTGCACTTAGATATATACACGAACATGTATCAGGAAGGTATCATTACATTGTCTACTTTAAGTAAACATGAAACAGGCCAATGGGCGCTCCTTTGTTGTCTGGAAACTTTAGAAGAAAATTCGGAAAAATAAAAAGCGTGAATTTCAGAGTTCCCATTGACCTCTCAGATTTACTAAAAGAAGACAATGTAATGATACTTTCCTAAAAAGGCAGGGAAATCAACACATGCCTTCATACTTTATTTTGTACCAGAAAATAACATGTGCAGGTATGGCAATTTTTCCCCAAAATGTTATTTCCAAGCTGTACCTTTAGGGGTGTCGACTTTTGGCAATCAACCGAAGATACCTCAAGAAAAACCGGAGATTGCCGAAGATTGCCGAAGCTTTTCTTTGCAAACGAAGTTGGCCGAGGGTACCACGAATGTGAAGAGGACGCCTCTAATTGGTCAAAAATAGAGGCTCGGCATTCTCCGTCAGATTGAATCGGTAAAATTCGGTTGTATGGCTTACCTTCGGTTGTATGGCTTAGCTTCGGCTGCATGGCCAAACCTCGGTTGATTGGAAAAGATGCTGTCCCGTACCTTTTGATTCAAACATTGACAGACTCTGCATCTGATATGCTATCCGATGAAAACGTCCAGTTGCCAAATCTATGAAGGGGAGTGTACATGTCCATTCTGGATCCGATATATCTATTGGGGTAACAGGTGTCAAATACCAGTCTAATGCCTTCAAAACACACAATAGCATGTGGTGCTACTAAAAGCAGTGATTAATCAGAGACAATTTATGAAGCAAAAAAGGTGATCAGCTGCACTTTGTCATTAACTATTACTGTCTTCATTTCCTGTTGTGGCAATTACCCAAATGCGAGTAGGTAGTTACCAGTTTCACCACCAGGTGGCTGATTCGGGTCAATTAACATGGCAGGTATATAAGAAAGTTCCCTTAAACTTGAATATTATCAATTTAAGTGGCTCAATTTTCATATAACCCTTATGGGTCTGATACTTATACTCATGAAAATATGTCCAGTAAAGCAAAATATTATCTGTCCACTAAAAGAAAAGATATTTCATTTTTTGTGATTTTATAGCATGGGGTCTATGAGGAATCTCCCCGAGTAGCTAGAAGTCACATTTTTAAAGAAAATTAATTTTTCAAAGTTGATAAACACTTTTTAAAACCACATTTCTAAATGTAATTTTACATGTAGATTTCAAATATGATATTACTTTGACTGAATTTTGAATATTTAATGACGTAAATCAAGATTGTTTCTACTCGCATCTGGGTTATTTCACATCAGCCATCAGCAACTATTCACAATTCTAGTCACAGGCATCGGTAGAGATAGTAAAGTTGTCCCTCTGAGTTTTCCTGAAGAGAAAGTTCATCCTCTAACCTCCTACTCTATGTACAAAGAAAAAAGATTTGGTCCATTGAGAGTTGGAAAATGTGGATTTTCATTTCAGAACAACTCTACTGTCTGTTCCGATCCGTGTGCACTAAATACTCTTCAACATGCATGAATATGTTTTTCCGATGTGATTGTTCATTTATGAATGAATCTGACACGGGACAGAACTTTCTTTGCATCTCTTTTCTACAACTCACGAGCACTAAATAAGGGACCAAATTTAGCAGGTCATGGAAGGTGGTTCTCTCTGATGATTTCCTTATTTACGTTTCATTTGATGCAACTACATGTATTAACAACAATTTGTCCTCCTAGGATCATATCTTAAAAGTTTGAAATAAAAATATTACAATCTGCGTGCAATTTTGGAGATAACGATAATAGTAATCCTCTTAATACTATACTCTCCATTACCACGAGCCTTATATATTAACATGAGGGGTCAAAATGTTTCTTAAAGTGTCTCACATATTCGATCAAAATTTGCCATGCAAACATGTTAGTCTACTTTACTGGCCCCCTTTGCTGTAACAAGGAACACAGAACACATTAAAACCCGTAAACATAAATCAATTAGTCAGACGATCACTTCACTATGAAAGTTAGGGGTGTTCAAGGCAAATGTGTATTAGCAGAATACGCTGTGTGCATGGACTAACACAATGTCAGTGGTCATTTACTGTGTCAACTTAGTAACCCTTGCATATCGTGCTCACTCAAGTATTGAATAATTTTTTTTATGATCTAAATGTTTGTGGTTTATAAAAAAATGTGATATATTTTAGTTGGAAATACATTAATAAATATATTCATTCAAACAGCACTAGAATGCTGGAAGAAAGAGCAATGGTGACAAAATGCAGACAGAATTTTCCGTAAGGGTTTCAAACATTTCTGGACACAATCATAAATGTACTGTTATTTTTAGTGCTGTATTTATAGATATAATTTCACGTATTAAAATCATATTTTCCAGCAATGACTTCAAATTCGGAACCACCCCCATATCACATTTTCTTCAATAACTCCAAACATGTGTAAACATTGACCATGTGCATATAAATTCAGATTTCCCGAGCTCTTTACTATTCGAGTACCTCATACACCCCTGCATGGATTTGAGTTGGATTCGCCTTTTATACGTGAGCCGGTACACATCGCAAACGCTGATTGGATAAAGATTGCGAGAATCTTTAAGTCAATGAAAAATTTCATTACACTTTTTTTATAAAATCATACACGGATTACCGTTTACAAAATGTTTAGGTCCTGAATC